TCTCCCTTTCTTTCATTCTTCCTCCCTCTATCCTTCCCTCTTTCTTTTTTCTTTCCCAAAAACTTTAATCTTAGACTGTCTACTATTGACCTCAACCCTTTCCTAAGAGCTCTGTAGGGGGTGTGCATAAGCGCACCAATATGCCTACTGTCCCTGTCCTATTGTTTCTTTCTTTTTTCTTATTCGTATCCATTTCATGTATTCATAACCATGTTTATACTTATACCTGTTATCTAATCATCGCTTGACAAAATAAAATAAAACAAATAAAAATAAAATAAAATGACACGGTCACCCAAATGGACCCCTGGCCAGCCCCAAAACCCTTTGCTAGGAAGCTTCCTTTACCCACCCCATCCAAGAGCTCCTGAGCTCTCACCCCTTAGCTTGCCCTTGATTTTTGGTGGGACCAGAAGCCCCATTATTTACCCACAAGAGAAGCAGCAATCTGGGAACCCATTTGGGGCCTGAATACATCCTGGAAATCAGTGGTAAGAGAGGTGGTCCCATTTTAAAACCACGGGAAACTTTTTAAAAACAGAGTTTTACGGTCATTACGGAGGGTCTTCTGGCAGGGTTAAGAATCCCAGAAGGATAAATTTTTTTTTACTAATAAAGCATCTAGAATCCTAGTTACAGTAAGCAACGTAACCCGTCATTTTCTCATCAGCTGAACAGATTGTTCTCAGAGTCCTTGAGCAAGAGAACATCACAGTTTCCTTCTGCCACTCTGATTTTGGTGGTGGTTGCATATATATATGTTTTCTTAAGTTTTCGCGGGTACTTACATGTACGGTATTCAGCTTTGTTCAGGTATTTTCCCACGTCATTGTAGTTGTGCTTTTAAAGTTGTAGCAACGTTTCGGCAGAATCTCATCTGCCATCATCAGGCTTCTGACGAACACAATACAGAAGCCTGATGATGGCAGATGAGATTCTGCCGAAACGTTGCTACAACTTTAAAAGCACAACTACAATGACGTGGGAAAATACCCGAACAAAGCTAAATAACATACATACATACATACATACATACATACATACATACAATCTGGGGGTGGAGGGATTAAAACCTCAGGGCTGTTTTTTCCCCACTGCTGGTGGTTGCAGGAAGCCTCTTTGCTTGGAAAATGTCCTGCCCTGTTCCACTTACTGAAATATACTTGCATCTAAAAATGCCACCATGTTCGTTGCAACGAACGTTGGTAAACTTCCCCATGGAGCAAAATGTTCCCCTTTCATAAAGCAAGCTCGGCTTTGTTTGAGATTATTTTTTTAGAAAAAAATGCAGCTTTTTACCTTTAACTAGATTGCAATTTTCCTGAGATGCTTTCCCAATCTTTGCTGATTTGCAAAGACTCGTTGGGTTTCTGGGGAGAGCTTTTCTGTAAAGGAAAAGTGTGTGTTTTATTCTAGATGGCTTTCCAATTTCCCCGGGATCTATAATTACTCTTTCCCAATTACATGATTACCCAACATTTTAGATCATGGTTTTATAAATATGATAATAAATCAGAAATGGTTTTACAGTCTGGCAGATGTATTTGTCTGAATAGCTAATGGTAGTTCTGAATGTAAGATAAACAGTTCCAGAGAGCGATCAGTCAACAGAAATTCTGCCTCTTCCATTACCATTTTTTTTGTAGATTTAAAAAATAAAATAATCGGGAGGAATCTGGTAGCCATGGTGCTACCAGACTCCTCCCGATTTTTTTGCTATTGACATAGCTCTCCTCCTACAGTGTCTGACTGATTTTAAGTCATACATAGCAAACTAAAGAAATTATAGGAGTAAAAATTAAAGAAAAATAACATAAAGTAAAACTAGTTTACAAACTCTCCATAGCTTTCTAGCCCTGCAAATCATCCTGTAACATCTATATATTACCTCAGTGTATCTCAATCTTTGCAACTTTAAGGTTAGATTAGATTGACAGAGCTGGAAGGGACCTTGTAGGTCATCTAGTCCAACCCCCTCCACACAAGCAGGAGACCCTACACCATTTCCGACAGAGGGCAGTCCAGTCTCTTCTTGAAAGCTTCCAGGGATGAAGCTCCCAAAACTTCTGAAGGCGACTTCTGTTCCATGGATTGATTGTTCTCAATGTCATTTCTCCTTATTTCTAGACATTTTATTTTTTATTTATTTATTTGATTTGCCAATTGTTTACAAGATAATAAGTATAAGTGTATACATAGTTGTGAATATGCGAACTTCAAACTCCCAGAATTCCACAGCCAGGTAGGCTAATAAGAATGCCATGCTGCAAATCTGGGTGAATTGAATTGAGCTGAGTATATAGTTAAACCATTCACTTAGTTAAACCATTTTTTTGTTGAAACATGCTTTACTTCCATCGTATAACTTTCTCGTCATGTTCAAGACCCAATCTTCAACTCCTTATGCCTGAGAAAAACCTTCAAGTAATTTCTTTTATCAAACATTTTCTCTAAATCAATAACTATGCAACAGCTCTGATTTTTATAGCAGTCATTGATTTATATGGATCTTAAAAACTCATCCTTGCCCTCTTTCGCTTCAACATTTTTATCAAGCATCCTTTTCCCTATTGCCTTTAGTATAGTTCCCCCTAATTCTCGCCATTCTGTCTAACGTCTATGCACATTAACCCATGTAGTGTGGCTGTAGTATTATTACTTATCCTTATTATCTTCTTTAGTGCCGCCTCTTATTGGCGTTATTATGATTATCATTATTCTGTTGCTTTCTATATGCTCTGGGAGCTTCTGCAACTGGAGGCAAATTCCGTGTGTCAGACTTGGCCATATAAAGTGAAAGTAGTCCTCGACTTACGAACACAATTGAGTCCAAAATTTATGTTGTTAAGCGAGACACCCATGAAGTGAATTTTGCCCTATTCTACGACCTTTCAGGCCACAGTTAAGTGAACCATATTTAGGAACATGGTTGTTAAATTAATCTGGCTTCCCCATTGACTTTGCTTCTCAGAAGGTCACGTAACCTCAGGACACTGCAACCATCATAAATATGAGCCACTTGCCAAGCCTTTGAATTTTGATCACTAGACGAATTGTAGTAAGTCAAAAACTTACTACAGTTCAATTCACCCACGTTTGCAGCGTGGGTAAAATTCGTAATTTTTATTTTACTCTGTTCCAAGCTTTTTACATCCTCTTTTATCCCTACTTTTATCCCTACTTTTCTTTCCTTCTGCTTGGGTATTATTCTGTCATTCAGTGACAGATTAATCTTTTTATCAGTCATTTGAACTTTTTCATAAAAGGCTCTCTCTTGTCTTAGATTGAACAGAGGATTAAAATAATCTCCAGGGTTTGTTTTTTTTTGCAACACTTGTTATGCAATTGTTCTTTCGTTCTTATTTCTTTCACAATTTTGTAAATGTTTGAACCATGTGTTTAAAACAGACCCTTTTTCTAAACAAATATACTTTACTGACCAGTGTAATTCTTTCCTAGGTTTCCAAATTGCTCAGTTACTTTTTCTTTTTGGCCTTTATAGAATTAAACAGAAAAAGAAAAAAAGAAAACAGTGAAACAGCTAGATATATACAGAACTATATATTCTTATACATGTAGGTAAATGTATATGATATATAGTGTAGCATGCAATGATCACCCTCCTGTGAGCGTGAATGAAAAGAGGAATCCATAGCAACCCACT